ATGATAGACTTGGATTTACTTTTAGTATTCAGACATAGGGATAGTCTAGGAGTGCGTTATTGAAAATTGGGTTTGGGGCAGATAAGTAAAACAACCACACATTTTTTTTTCTGAAGCTAGTCTGTATTAGTAATGACAGACATTTTCCCTCTCTTCTTAGTTGCCTGAATTCTAGTAATTTTTCCCCATATTTTACAGCTATGCAATGAATAATGCACTGTGAAAGAGGCTACACAATATTTTCATATGACGATACAACGTCCTTGGAGTATAGCTCAAGTGAAGCTGCATGCAGAGGGGATCAAAGAGGTCAGAAATTGTTATTTTGGCCATATTAAAGTCAATATAAACACTGTGTGTGCTGGTGTTATAAATATATATATATACAAAGAATAAAAGGCTGGGGTAGATCTCTGAACAAACCCCAAATAATCAATCACTTGGGCTTATGTACTATGGATGTATTCTTAAGACCATTGCTCTATGGCACCAGACAGTACTGTAGGCATCAAATGAAGTTATAAATTCCAGTCATATTCTAAATTTCTTTTACAGTGTTGGAAAATCACATTCACTACTTCATCCAATGACAACTTTAAAATGTAACCTGCAGTCAACCTATCCTGCAGGTAAGCAGACAGCTCACAGCAGAAAGTGACTGAGGAGGTGAGCAACACTTTTAAAATGAAATTGAGAGCTTTCCTTATTTGTTTTGCATGTTTTGAGGTTTTCTTACAAACTTGCACCTTAAAATATTTCACTATGTACTGAATTAAATTACTTATATCTGTAGGACAGTGTGGGGTTTGGGACAGAAATCAGCCAAATTTAAGTGGTTGAAACTGTCTTTTTCTGTCTTGCTTCTGTTTGAAGGAAATTTTGTTTCCCTTGGGTTTTTTTGGGGGGGTTGATTTTTTTGTTTGTTTATTTGCTTGTTGTTGGGGTTTTTACTTCTGTTATGATACTGACTGTTTAAAAGACTCAGAAGCCTTTAGATAAAAGACACTGCAGCACAGCAGACTATGCTTGATTTAGTTATATGCTTATTTATTTATATTCAACTAGCAGCCTTGCCACAGACCTTTCAAGTGGTATTGGTCAGTTAAGTTAAGCTCTGTGTCAAATGAAAATACTGGCGATTACTTCCATTTTCTCTTTGCTGTTGCCTTAGTCTGTTGGGTATTTGATTGTAGTATAGTGGTTGACAAACATCAAATGCTGCCAAAATGAAGCCCTGATCTTGAACAGGGCCTGTAAACAACACTTCAATAAGACAAAGTCAATAGTTTGACATGGAGATGGTAGAACTTGGTGTGTATATGTTAAATGAGGGGACACATGGTCCTCTATAGTCTGAGATATCCCCAGGTCAAGGAGTTTTAGTCAGATTGTTCAGGTGAAATCTGCTACTCTCCATCAGATGCAGTTCCTCCAGGCACTATATAAGGAGTATCTTAAGGATTTACGGGTGTAAAAACTGCCTTGAAGGCAATGTTTTGTATAGAGGAAATCTCTACTTAGTGCTGCCTGTGAAGGCCTGCCTGCAGCAGTAGCTCTGCCATTCTCTACTCTGAAGTGCCTTTCCTCCCCTCTGCTGCTTTCCCAGCCACTCATTGGTGGGATCAGATGGGATGGAAAGCAGGAAGGGTTGCTGCAGGAAGGTATGGTAGAATGAAACTCTGACATCCTTTATATTGAATTAAAATCAAGTGCTGTTAATTAAAGATGCCCTCCTGCCAGGTGTAGATTAGCTCAGGACCGAGCTGCTGAGAGTGTTGGGGACAATAAAAAAAATTAATTCAAACCTACCAGAATTTAAATTCAGAGCATCTTTGCTTTGCCTGCAAATGACCATAGCATCATTGGAAGCAGCTGTGCAGCCTGTGGGCACAGTTCTGCTGTTTTTATGTCTGTGCCAGGAAAGTGCTCCTTAGCCTGGGAGGAGGCACCGGGCTGTGGCTGTGCAGAGCTCATGTAGAGCCCCCTTGGCCCTGCATGCACAGACCAAGAACAGATGTGAACTGCTGACTCGGGGCATGAAAGGGCTACAGAGAGATAGTCATATGTGGAACTACTTCATACTCATCCCTGTTTTGTGAAGTGTTTAATCACTCCACCGCAAATAATATATGGAATTAATAACTTCATGTGATGTCCTTTACACCTGAACAGCTAAGCAGCTTTTTTTTTTTATTAAATAATGTATTAGATACAAATTACATGATCTTATGTGACCTAGACACTGTCACACTGAAGCTTTACAGTTAAAAATTACAAGAAATCTCTTGGTCAACTCAGGCATTATTTTAGAAATGTTAGGCACCCATTCTGTGTTCTTAGTGCAATCTTAACTTGTTGTTTACAGTTAGGTGCTGTTAACAAATCCAAGTATTTTACAGTATGGGAAACACTGCTGGCGAGTCTCTGTTTTCATATAATGTGCAGGTGATGGTTTCAGGAACAAGTCAGTGCCTATGAATGCTTCATATTACAGAAGTGAAACAACATCCAAGGCAATGCAGATCTTGTTTTAACAGTTTGGTTCTGATCTTACTTATTATTTTTCATTTTTCTCCTGGACACATATAGACCTTTTCCTATCAGGAAGCTAAAAGATGCAGACAATATTTTTTGCTGCTAATGGTGCATAACAATTTTCAGAAACAGATCTTCAGCTACAGTGTTACCATTTTGTTAGCTGAAGTATAAGTGTGCTTCGTTACTTCTTAAAATATATATGCTTGTATATGTATATAAAAATAATCTCTCTTAATTATTGCAGAAATAGATAAGATGCTGTTACTATCAATACTTCATAGATATTGTGGTAACAGCTGATTTTAGAGCCCTGGTGGTGGCAAAACAGTTCCACATTGAACCAATATTACACGTATTCTCAGGATACCAGTGTGGAATTGCACTGAACTCGTAGAGTTCTTAGTCCTCTAGTTCCCAGAGAGGACCAGGGTAGGTAATGGAAGGAACTTTAAGGGATTTCTGAGCAGTCACTCTGTAGCTAACTGCTAAAGTACTCCAGAGTCTGGCATCTCTTGCAAATTACAATTGAGTAGTTGGCATATTGCTCACAGTAGGAGACACGCAACAGTGTTGTGCATTCTTTCCCTCTTCATGTGTGATGCCACAAAGACATCTACTTATGAGGAAGTTTGCTGCTTGGACATGAGTTGTGATAAGCATTTGCAACCTGAGGGGAATGGATGATAAATCCATCACTTAGGCGCCAAAGATACAATTGGTACAGTCTATCAGTCACGTGAATTGTGATTGGCCTGTTGCAATGGAATAGCCTTTAACAAAAACAAAATGAAAGCTATTAACCTTCTAAATGGATTTTACATAGTTGCACAAAAGAGAAAAGAAATAACAAAAGAAGAGAAAAGAGAATAGAAAAGAAGAGAAAGATTCCCACCAGCTCTTCCCCTCCAAAATTAGCATTGGCACTGGTGAAGTCACACACAAAGGAAAGTCTCACTTTCTTTGTGCTTCTCACAATGACATCAACATGCATGGCTATGAGATGACGAGAGAATACCTCACTCACAATGAGTAACAAATTAGAATTTTCTTCAAAGCAAAAAAATGATAACACAAGACCATCATAGGTATATGCTAATTCTTTCAAAACACCTCATTTGAACTATATGTCAGTAAAGATCAACTGGCTGGCAATCTGTTCTATCTAATACAACACAGGGGATATTCTGAATAGGCTGAAGGATGTCTACCTGGCTGGAACATCTGCCAAAAATGAAGTTGGCTTTTTTTTCAACATGGTTATCTACTTTCAAATTACGCCATAGAATAAATAGTGGTATTCCATGGGTAGAGGTAGATTATGGGGTTTAAATAATCAAATTGGAGCCCCGTAATTTTGTGTGCTATAGGAGGAGTCTCATAAAACTGAGATATTCCCATAATTAACCACTAGCCATGGGATATTATAATATATTCCATGGTGACTAGTATTTTTTCCATTTCCCTCCCCCCTCCCAGTAGAATTAGTATGGTTAATTTTACTCTGGTTTCACCTATTGCTAACATGAATCACTATAATTAAAAATAAGAATACCATATCATGAGCCGATCTCTGTTTGGGCCAAACCAGCCTGTAATGACCAGTCAGACCTTTTCCAGTTGGCCTTTGCTGCTAGAAGGTTGAAAGAGCTGTAACTCACCAACCCACACTTGCAAAAGGAGCATGTTTTAGGAAATGTGGTTCAAAATTCTTCACAGTTCTAAATGCTAAATTCTAGTGGAATATTATAGAATAGCTTGATTTGCATGCCATGGAATAAACATCCTTACGTCTAGTCTTGTCTCAGAGTGAGTCATTTTGCATTAGTGTCAAGAATTTGAGCTGTTGTTCTACTTTGCAGTTAATCATCAGAAAGAGACTGGATTGTCTCATGAATATGCATGATGGTATAGTTGTCCCTTCAACTTACTAGGCACCTAGTTTCTGTAATGAGATGTACAATATCTGCCATTTAAAACAGCTGAAAGATCCCAAATGGGAACAAATGAGAAAGCATCTGGCTGTTTCGAATTCCAGCCCTGTTTTGTCAGGAAACTCTGTAATTGCTGAATACTTGGCTCCTACTCTGCTCTATGAAGCATTCAGCTCTCAGGAGCCTCTGAAATGCATTACACAGTCCAGCAACACAGCTGTAGAACTCTCAAAATTCTTCCACTAGATGTAACAGCTTTTCAAAATATCTTGAGACTTGTATGCCCTTAACCAGGACCAAAGTTTGGGCTCCTAGAGCGTGCTCTCATCTTTAGTTTTGCTGATCAGCCTCCACTGTACCATTTGTCCCTGCAACCTAGACTTCACACATATTATTCACTGTGTGATGGTGGGACTAGAATGGATAAATGTGCTACCCATTGCTCTAAGAAAGCAGTCTGGCTGAATCTTAAATCACTACGCAGGATGGAGGTTAACGGTCAGATGGACATTCCTCTAAGAGGTTTCCTACCTGCTCTGTTAATTTCTAAAATTTCTTCTTGGGCCAGTGGGCAAGTGTCGCTCTGAGTACTGTGGTGTGGAGAGTTTACGACAGATTTACAATAATTGGGGGATCCCAGCTGGGGTGGCCTCGGGATATGCTTCTTTTTTTTCTTTGGTAGCTTCTGCTTAGCCATAGCTAAGGAGTAATACATTCCGAAATTGTTCACAATGACAGGGACAGGCATGGCAATGGTCAGCACACCAGCGAGAGCACAGAGGGCCCCCACCAGCATGCCTGACCAAGTCTGAGGATACATGTCTCCGTAGCCCAGGGTCGTCATGGTGACAACAGCCCACCAAAAGCCGATGGGGATATTTTTAAAGTGTGTGTGTTCACTGGCACTAGGGTCATTTGGTTTAGCACCTATTCTCTCGGCATAATAGATCATCGTGGCAAAGATTAAGACGCCCAATGCCAAAAATATGATGAGCAGCAAGAATTCATTTGTGCTGGCACGGAGGGTGTGTCCCAAGACCCGCAACCCAACGAAGTGGCGGGTCAGCTTGAAAATTCGCAGGATTCGCACAAAACGGACTACGCGGAGGAAGCCCAGGACATCCTTAGCAGCTTTGGAAGACAGGCCACTGAGTCCAACCTCTAGATAGAAAGGCAGTATGGCCACAAAGTCAATGATGTTCAAAGAGTTTTTGATAAATTCCACCTTGTTTGGGCAGAAAGTGACTCTCATCAAGAACTCAAATGTAAACCAGACCACACAGACACCTTCGATGTAGGTGAGAAAGGCTTCAGTCTCTGCTTCCCTGTAGTGCCGCACCTGGGTGTCATTCCCGATGAATTCAGTTTCTGTCTTGTTCACAATGGGGTTAAATCTCTCATGGGTCTCGAGGCAGAAGGTGGTGATGGAGACCAGAATGAAGAACAAGGAGGCAAATGCCACATACTGCGGAAAGAAAGATATGAGAGAAATGTTAAACAGTTGGTTTAGTACAGGGGCTTTGATTCTGAAACATTAGGGATATTCAAGGGCTGTATTAAAACTAAAGATAAGGCCAAGCCTGTGGGCTTAAGATGCCAAGTCTCACCTAGAAAGCCTAACATTCAAACTAGGAGGGAGAGAAGTATTTAAGTACATGCTAAAATCCATTCCTATACAGATAGCACCTTACTGTGAGTGTAACTTGAAGCAAGCATTTCAATCTCAGAGCTTTGTTTGGGATTTAAGGTTAAGGACATATTGAAATTCTACTTTCCTGAACTTGGTCTTCTCTTACTTCCTTGTATTAAAGACAGAGCACAGCTTCTGGGACAATTGCCATGCAAGACCTTTTGCAACATTGTGTCAGTGGCTGCCTCCTGTTCCCAGCTGAGTGTCAGTCGAGGTATTTTCAGATCTCAGCAAGGGGCTAGTAAATACTAGGGGCAGTCTCAAGTGGTCTCTACAGCAAGGAGCAGGGTCCTGTTTGGCATCATTAGACTTTCTTGCCAAATCCTAGAGGCAGGCTGAGAACAGTCACATACCAAACTGAGCTCTCCTAAAGTAAACGCCTCTTTTCTCAGTTCCCTTCTCCAGATCTTTTGGGAGAGGGGGACAGGGAGGGTAAGAAAGAGGTTTTGGGTAAGAAAGAGGTTTCAGGTAAGCCTGTCAGCTGATCCCAAAGGAGACGGATCTGTTGGCTTTTACCAGACATGGTTTTCTTGAAGCGATTCTCATCACAAGATGAGACTTGTATCAGAACTACATGAATCCTTATTTTGAAGGATGCTGGATTACAATTTGGTTCATCAAGTTACAGTGAAGGTGGTAGCAGCCCCCAAAGTCAATGAGTGGTTATCTTATGAACATTTTCTTCTTCTGTTTCAGTTCTTGCTTTTCAGAGAATCATAGAATGGTTTGTACTGGAAGGGACCTTTAAAAATGATCTAGTCCAATCCTCCTGCCATGAGCAGCGACATCTTCAACTAGACCGGTTCACACAGAGCCCACCCATCCTGGCCTTGAATGTGTTCAAGGAGGGGGCATCTTCCACCTCTATAGGCAACCTGTGCTTGTGTTTCACCACCTTCCTTGTAAAAAACCCTCTTCTTTACATCTAGTATGAATCTTCTCTCTTTCAGTCTAAAATCATTACCCCTTGTCTTATAACAACAGGCCCTACTAAAAAGTCTGTCCCCATCTTTCTTATAAGCCCCCTTTCTTACAAGCCCCCTTATTGACAGGCTGCAACAAAGTCTCTCTGGAGCCTTCTCTTCCCCAGTTGAACAACTCCAGCTTTCTCAGCTTTTCTTAGTCTTTCCTCAGCCTAAAGGAGATCTCTTTGTTGTATTCCACAATAATTGAAGGGTACAGTCAGTACAGCTAGGCCAAAATTCACAGGTCTTGTAACCACAGTTCCTCTGCTCCATCCTCCTTGAATCAATTAAGTAATTTGCATATATCTAAGTCTATTTTTGTGTTGGAGTGGAACTGTAATGGTAATGCCTTTTTCCATTTCATTCCCTGCATCTGTTATTTTCTTGTTTGTTTTGTGTGTCACTTTGACAAGAGATATCATATATTTCACTGTCTTCATGAGCATAAGCAACTGTGATAATTAAAATATTATTCAAGTATTCTTCTAATGTCCTGTTATTCATAATGTCTCTTTTTCAGCAGCTTAGCTGGAATAGTGGTTAAAAAGGACTAGTTTCTTCTAACTGTTTGTTGCCAGTGAATGCACTGCAACAATCTAACCAAAATTGCTGCCAAAGGAACAGACCTGATAAAAATAACCTATGCTTCAATCTGCCTAAGCATTCCTGCAATCAAGAAGTTCCTTCTGTCTCTTTTCCTGGGTAGACCTACTGCAGAATTATATTCTATATTAGCATATAGCATGGATTTGCCACAGTTTGAGGAGAACCATTTAATAAAATACAGAGAAACTGGAAGAGAATAAAATCACAAGACTCTTTAGGTTGGAAGGGCCCTCTGGAGGTCGTTTGGTACAACTTCAAATTTGGATCAGGACACTCTTGCCTGGTCCAGGTCTGAGTATCTCCAAGGCTGGAGATCCCACAGCCTCTCTGGGCAGCCTGTGCCAGTGTTTGCCCAGTAAGAACAAATAAGCTTGGAAGGATACAGAAGCAAACAGGCTCTTCTGCTTTTCAGATTCATTTTTGTTGCCAAAGAGATCAGAACCATTGTCACAGATTTAAAAAAACCATGAACAGTACCTTCCCTTAAATGCTTCAGGTTCTCACAGCACTATACCTGCTGATATGTGCTAAAATCAATGCCTAATGTATTTGGGAGATAAACAATATGAAGATTAGAGAAATGGAGAAGCAGGACTAGAGCTATCTTTTTATGACATTCTCCTGTTAAATAGGGAAATTTCTCCATGCAGAGTTTCTCCATCTGTAAAAGTGATTAAAAAAATACCAGCTGGTGTTGGTCTTGTGCTTTGTGATCCTATATAAATGTGTACAGGTTCTACATGCTTTTATCTAAATGTTACTGACTTTAATATATCAACAGTTTACCTGAAAAATAAGGTGAAGAGTGTTTTAAGTGGTCAAAGTAATTTTGTGTATGATATTGGTAACACTTGGAGCTTAATTGTCTGTGTATGAGTAAAAGGAGAAACAAAAGCATCTTGAACCAAGAAGTCAGGAAAATATTCCTAGGAGCCTTAGCATGTCTGCTTTATTTCAGCCTGGGGCAGCTTTTTACGTAGCTGTAGAGCCCTGAGAATTCAGGCGGCAGAAGGAAATGCTGACACTTCGTTAAGTCAGGTAGCACTCACAGATAAGGAGCAGAGAGGGGAATAAAACCATTTTGCACTGTGAAGATGGCCCCTTTCTTTATGCTGACTCAAAATGCAATTCTCCTCTTGGTGTATATTGAATATACCTCCCGAGTGAGTTTTTCCTGCTTAGGACAACCTTCAGGCTGACCTTGCACAACAAGTATCTTGAAACGTGATGTTTTGCTGTATTAAAGGGAACAAATAACCAATTCTGACAGGGCATTTGAGTTCTCTGCAATGGTACATGATAACAGTGTTATCAGCAGAGAACATCACGCCCGTGATCTCTCTTGTTAGCCCTTGTTTAGGCACACCGTGGCTTCAGAGGGAAATTGAGAGATTTTAGTCCTTAATTCAGCAGAGCAGGAAGCACCTCCTAAATGAATGTGAAGCCTTTGCTTCCTTCTGTTGGTACTTAACAGCATCTAGAGCCCTTTCCCAGGATGGGCATGTGCTTGTATGCTTTGCAGCTTTGAAAGTGGGAGTCTGCTTTCAAGATTTCATAAAACTATGTCTGAGTAATGGTGTTGACAGGAAGAATCACAGTATTTCTTCTCCAATTTAATTTTGTTTATCTCTGCTGAATTACTATCTAGTCCTAAAACCTATGTTACATTTTGGAAGTAAAAATGCTCCTTAGTCATTCCGTGCTTCAATATTGAAAGGCTCTTGTTTATTGTTTTAGAGGAATGACTGCACAGGCTGAAAGGAGAAGACTGCGGAGAGCAGTCTTTTAATAAAGGTCCCATTACAGTTCCTCAGTCTCTTGGCTGATCCAAAGAAGTGCAGAAATGCCTGAGAATCATGCCCAATGATTCATACACTGACACCCATCTCTGATAGATTTATCCGCAGCAGCTGCTTGGTACACAGAAATTTAGCAGTTTACTCTAAATGAATGGTAATATATCATTGGCATAGATTATATTTGTGATACCCAATTCATATTGCCCCCACCCCTTTTTTCTTCTGAATGTTTTTCTTTGTTAATTATCTGATATGAGATTTAGCAAACTGTAAGCAAAATCTAATAGCACAAAAATCAGCAAGTATGCTTTTCTAGGTAGACCAGCATTAATTCTTACCAAAGGCATAAAAAAAAGAATTCTCTCTGGCACACCATCAGAGGCCAACAGAGATCACCTATCATGCCCAACATGATAATTTGTCAAATCCAGAGATGGGCAATGCTAATAAAATCTAGTGAAGACTATGGCACTCACACATGTTCTATTGTCTTTGAAAATAAGTCTGTCTCTTTTTATTTCACTAATAATGGTCTGAAAACTAATCAAACCAATGGATTAATCTTGTATAATTTAGTGGTTCTTAATCTTCTTTCTACTTACATTTTATAGCAGAATTTCTCTTCTTCCTAGGATCTGAATGGACTGGGGGAAAGGAGTGAGGATTTTAGGAAGTGATTTTATGTCCTGTTGAGTTACATAATGGCATCCAAACTTTTGTATAATTAAAGAAAATACCTAGGTAAAGTGTTTAAAGTGATAAAAATTCTTTTTTCTGTTTGGACACGTGAATGATTTCTATTACACTGGAGATGCTGTTGCCATCACCTTTTTTTTTTTTCCTGGTTCTAATACTAGCAAAGAAAAATCACAAATTGTCCAAAACCACAGAGGCCATAAGAGAAGACAGAGGTGAGATTTTAAAGGAGGAGATTTTCATTAGAATATAATTTACACTAAAATGTCTTCATTTTGGAGAGAGAAGAAATTACTCTCCTGCATAATTTCTGTTAATAGTGGATATATTTTATTAAGTTTATTTGGAAAGAGTCTAGAAGATGTCATGCCCATAAGTGGAGAATTTAATAATCTAATTTATATTGCCTCTGATTAAATCTATCTATCTATCTATCTATCTATCTATCTGTCTATCTATCTATCTATCTATGTCTCAAGTGCTTGCTTCTCTAGATTTCTCCATTGCCCTATGTCTAACCCAGCCATTTTTGCCAGTGCAGTGGGAATATGAAGTACCAATTAATTCAGAATACTAATATTTCACATGGGCTTTGCATAACTGTAAAAGGAACAAGGTAATGGAATCAGATGTAGCCACTCATGAATAATTAGCCAGCAGCTTTCCACTTAGTGTGGAAAGAAAACAAGAGCCCAACAGCCTTGAAAAC